TGCAATCTCTGCTGTCTTGCAAGGGTTTACTCCGAAGTTTACCCTTCAGATCGGATCAATTTGCCAAACTTTACGAAACTTCGTAACGTTAGTCGTGTCGTGGATATAAAAGAATCGAAAAAAAAAAATCGAATCCAATAATAAAATGAATGTGGGGTTTTGCTTTTTTTTAAAAATAATTCTCACTTGCCTGAATTCACGAAAAAATTAAATATCAGTGGTGAAGCATAAAGTTATGAAGATAGTAAAATATTCCCCGTTTGCTTGTTTGTCCCTGTCTACTTGTCATTTTGCCTTTGAGAAAGATTCTGCCAGGTTCGAAACGTCAGGCTCCTCATGTTTTGTGCTTCGTATTTTAAGTCACTGTAGTCATCAAGCCGTTTGCAGCAGTTTTGTATTACATATGTTCAAGGTGATAAATTGACTGAACAAACTTCATTTGGAAGAAAGAAATATCAACAACTACCTTGCATATCTCAGCTTAGTTTCCAAAAAGGAAGTCACACTTCCCCAACAGGTATTTTGGTATTCTTACAATAACAATTATCAAAATTTAGTGGAGTTCACGATGAAAAAATTCAATCCCAGAACAAATTTAATATGCAATGTTGAAACCTGCTTTTATTTTTAATAAGGCGAGGATGTGTGGTTTCCCACATCCCAAAGGATTTCTTCTCTCTAAATCATGCGTTTCCATGAAATTAGGCTTTAATAGTTTCCTCTAGTTTTGCATCACAACTTTGAAATAACAAAGCCAGGAGCTATGGAGGTTAATATTTAGAGTAAAAGTTTAGGTTCAATCTCAGAGATATTACTTTTATATAATGATGTCATTAGTTTAATTTTAGATTGTACTGAGGTTGTTTACTAACATTCCCAACCCGTCAATCATCCATACAATAAATATCGAATAAAAGCCGTACCGAAGAAGATTTCCCCAAAATATGTGCTCTTGGTGAAATGAAATGAAAATAACTCGGAATTTATAGAATTGATATCTTGTCAATTTAGTTTACAAACATCCAACTCACCAGAGCTTGCCTCTGCCGTGGACCGAGTCAAGGCGGCAGTAAAAACACAGAGCACAACGAAACGCAATGGATTCCCGGCCATTCTGTCTTAAGGGCCGGCACCTGTGGAGTAAATCATTTTCAGTTCTAGTTATAGAAGAAAAGATCTTGATTCCGAATATTCTAATCAATGCCTTGTTAATTCGTTAAACACGTCATCTTCAAGCCGATCTTTTCTGACAAGGATTTCGGAGACAGTTTTAGATGACTGCAAGGTATTCTAATTCATTGTGCTTTAGTTCATGTTAATAGCTATCCGATGTATCTCATACATGATCCTAGTAGAAACAACGATGATAATTGTTCTCGTTTTCATTCCTTTCAGAATAGGAAGGTATTACTGTTAGAGTAGCGACCATGGTCCTGATTCAACCTGCTGGCTCACCAATCGCTTGAAGTTCTGCAGCGGTTGTTACGGTTAATGACATTAATGTAGACGTGTTTCAAGGATCAGATTATGCTTCAGTATAATGTGTATGAAGTATAATCTCTTTCACACTATAATCCAGCATTTCATTCTGGCTCTTCCTAGCACTTCGCCATAGCGAATAACGTCCACGTGGTGGTACAACTACATATAAATTGCCATCCTTGTAGCATATCTTGATAGTGGGTGGCTCAAACACTTTATCATTGCATTAAAAGATGGAATGCTGTATTAAACGATTAAAACGTATTGTTCGTACCATGCGCTCGCTGAAGTTCCTGTATATCCCAAATCGACAGAGCTTCAAGTCTGAGAGAGGGTTTTGCAACTAACGGCAGAGATTAAACCTCAAATGCTTTAAGCCCTCCCAACCCTAGGATGGATTCTTTTCTCAAAGGGACACACCATGTTATCCGTGTCTGTTATGGTTACACGGCGCTTATAGAAGTTGGAACAACACGCCGCTGGAAGCCCTAGAACTTTCCGCCTATCCAAATAAAGTTGCTATTTGCGGATTCTCTCAGAGAGGCTGGAGTTTCAAGTCTTCAGCTTTTTATCCTACCTGTACTGTGCCCTTAGGGGGTAATCTTACATGTCTGACAGAAAGGAAGAAAGAAAGCCATCACGCCTGCTTTCCCCTTCCATTAGGTTTTACAATTTGCTGTTTCATTCGGCAGATGTTTGTGGCCTATGGTGTGTGAGAAATACCAATGGAACGGTCCTCATCTGCATTCCCTTTTTCAGTTAAAGCAAACACTCCGCGTGGGTTTTAGTTGTGTTTACGCAAGGAGCAAACACTTTCTGGCAATTAATTAATTGTGGAAGTATTCAGATTCTTTGCATTGTAAAGTTGTTTTCTAGATGTAATATGACTTTGGGGTTATTTTTTAAAACTTTGGTTCTAAAGCATTAGTCTTATCCTTTCATGGTAATATTGGTAGGGAATTTCTGAAGGCCGAAATATAGCCATTTGCTCGTACATTGTTTTTAATAGGAGCCTGCAAGATTTTTCTTTCTCCAAAGAAATTTTTTGAAGGGTCGGGCTGACGAAAGAGTTTTCTCATTGCAAAACACTTAGAATTTGTTATATGTGTTTCTTACAGGGCAGCCGATCCGTCGTCTTGATTTGTAAGAAGATGCGGTGATTCCTTACAGTTAGAGCATTCGACAAGATCCCCCCCAAGGAAAAATCTTGATTGCTTGCCCTCTCGCCATTTCCCCTCCGATTTCTAAAGCCGAAGGTCCTTCAGAGAGACAAGTCGACAGGAGTTTTGCAAGAGGAGAGAGCTTAACTCAAAGGTTAGTTGCGTCTTCCGCTTTGAGTCGGTGTTTGTTTGAGCACTTCAAGAGCCAACGGGCCAGACCTCTTCAGATCGAGAATGAATAGGGGACTAGCATAACAATCAAGGCACGCCCAGGCGAGAAAACTGATGAATTTGCCCAGAAGCTCAGCCCGGACTTACGCTGGAAGACGTATGCGTGCAGTTCCCTCGAAGAATGTATCTCTCTTAGACATTCATACAGTGATGGCAAAGGCTGCAGTTGAGGGGCCTCTCTTGTGCTATGTTTTCACGTTTGGACGACACACTTATTGTTCCTCTTTCCTTATCTTTCCTCGCGTATAAACTCACTACAAACCTAACTGTATTTGTAAGAAGATGGAACTGTGGCGCGGCGGAGTGAGGTAATTTTTGATCGAGAATGGGATAAACCTGAAATAAGCACTGGTGCCCATCCGCTGAAAGGAAGACTTTTTTATCAGCCACCCCACCTTCATAAAATCGAAAGGGCGAGGGGGGAGCTGGACACGATCTTTCTATGGTGGCGCTATACAAAGCGATGAGTTTCGGAAGATAAATGGTACCTTACAAGTATTGAAGTTTGCACGACTTTAGTAAAGCGCGCTCTTGAAAAAGGAACACTTTAAAAGGGCACATACAGTATAAATAAACATAAAACTGTTTACAGATCATTTGGAGATAGGGTAAGTGCTTTCAGTATTTTAATATTTCGATATTAGGCTTACCCTGAATTTCCTTTTTATTTTTTGGCTTTTTGAGCCATTTTTGATCTAAAGGGAACGGCAACTTCCAAGAGCGTATGCATACGACACAAACTACATGTCCAAGCCGTAACTCTTAAACGTTACGCTGTTCAGTCAGATTGGTCCAAATGCACTGCCCAGGGCGGTCACCCAGGGCTGTCGTCGCAATGGATGGCTTTTTTATTTTATGAATTGAAAAATCCTTTTAAAATATCCATTTCGACTGACGGCTGGCACAAATTTTCTGACAAAGGGCAAGTTCGATCACTAATTTGTTAACCACTGGTCGATTTTCCATGATGCCCGATAAATATTTAATGCATCGGTTATCAATCAAACTCGACCACTGACTGCTGACTATTTGGTTGACTATTTGTCGCTGATGGAACTTACCTACATTTTGTGTGCTTTGGATTTTTTATTTTCGTCAGCCGCATTGAGGGCGCCCTATTCTTCGTGTGTTAGAGCTATTAGACTAAGTTGACTTTTCAAATGGAAACTTTATTTTGTTCCATTGAAATGAACAAAATTACGATAACTTAAAAAGAAATTAATTATTTACAGATAAAAAAATTTTAACAGAAGTGAACAAAATAAAGGTCAATGACAAACAGGATAAGGTAAACGAAAACGAATTATGGCGTTTGAAGGTTCGATGAATTTTCCCTTGGAGAGATCACTTTATGGCCTTTGCGTCAACTGTTGATCACATTAACAACGTTTATAAGGACAAACGCATGGTAAATCAAAGACCGCAGAGAGTGTGTGCCAACTCAGGTGATCCCTTTGGTTTTATCTGCTTTAGTTGTTGCAACGCAAAAGTGTTACTAAAAACCATTTCCAGGACATCCTGCTTCGCTGAAAACGACTCTTGAGGTGTCACAAATTAAATGATAAAAGATATCTCCAAACACATTATACTCAATGTTCTATCCCCTTTCACGCTCCACCCCGATCCGAACCCCTCACTGTGACTTCTGCACAGTTTGTGAGGTTTGACATCAATCTTGTCAACCCACACCGCGACAAATCGCAAAGCCGCTGATAGATTAATTTGATTAATTTAGAAATGACCTGACGTCAACAGCGTTGCCTTTCCCTAACGCGTATCAGGTCAGAGACTGTTCATAATTCGTTTTTCATTTCCTTCACAGTATTTTGCAGAAGAAATTAAAGCCGGACGCAGAAGGACACGTAGATGGGTACTTCCTCCATTATCGGACAAGTTAATTTGACAGTAGACGTCCCAGAGGACCGAGAACTAATTTATTCACTCTTCGTAGTCCATTTGATGTTATTTGTCTAAACCATTGAGTGCTTCCTGTTTATCTGACTTGGCATTTTTGTAAAAGTCTCTTTGTTTACCGGTATACCAAAAGTCCTGATCCTACTCTTGGGCCTTTGTATACGAATGTAAACAGTTATAAGTTGAAACAGAATATAACTCCATGTAGTCGAATCAAAATCACTGACAGTCAAATTTACCAAGTTCTATTTCCATGACAACATCGGAAGCTGAGCCAGATTGATGGATTTCAATTAAGTTGTCTTTGGCCGTGCACAGCCCACGCTGATTTATCGGCACATCACCATGTCGAGTCGCTTTTGTCATCGAATTGGCGTAAGTGCACGGTTGCACTATCTAGATGCTGTAGTTTTAATGAACGGTGTAGTCGTGTTTATTTCTTGGTCCCATCTATTATGTATACGGTAAAGGCCGTGCCGACACTTGTACTTCACTTCTAGAAGTTGGCAGAAGGAGGGAAAGGAACCGACTCAGCTAGAAAGATCTATCGTGTCAGCAACTACGTCGGAGCCTAGCGACGGGTTGATGTTTCTGACAAGCGGGATTTAACGGTTTTTCCAGTTGCATGTTTACCGTTGATCGTGAAACACTTCTTTTTGCAATTTTCAGTGCACAAGAGAAAAAAGTCCCTGGAATTTCAGGCAGATCTTCACATCGTCACGATGTCAGCTGAAACGCTAAACTTCACGAACTCCTCCACAGAATGTAGCATACGAACTGAGATTCCAGTCACAACACGGATGAATATCGCCCCCGCGGCTACACTAACGCCGGAAGAATTAATGTTACTTTATGCTGACGATACAGGGTTGAATGCATTGTTTTTCATCCTTATACTGCTTGAGCTGATCCTGGGAACATCAGGCAACACTCTCGTCATAGCGGCAGTGTTGATTAACAAAAAACTTCGTAAGATCCAGTACGTTTTCGTTTTAAATCTGGCTGTCGCTGATCTTTTTGTATCGGCTTGTTTGAATGGAATGCATCTCATGAGTATCTCTAGTTACGGAAAGTATTTCGAGGTGGGCTCCCGGTGCGAAGTCATTGGGCTCCTGTGCACCTTCGGCTGCGCAACGTCGCTGTACAGCATTGCTGCCGTGGCTCTTAATCGTTACACCTCCATTTGTCACCGCCTTGCCTACCCGACGGTCTTCTCCAAAAAGACAGTCCCCATGTTGGTAGCGTGCACTTGGCTCGTTGGTGTCTGTGCAGAGGCAATCTCGTGGGCCTCCAAGGGATTTCTGAACCGCATTGTGCCGGAACTTTTCATCTGCATGAGCTCTCTCCACCTCCAGTCGTCTACCGTGAGTCAGGCAATAGTGTTCTGGTTTGCTGGATTTGGATTTCCTTTGGGTCTTATCGTCTTCTCCTACCTGCGCATATGGCTCTATAACCGAGCATCTAAGAAGACCTTGCGAGACATCTCTGGAAATGGAAGTAGCAGACCTAAAGTTCTCACCAACACCGATCGCCGTCTCCTTCGCACCCTACTGACGCTGGTCGTGGCCGTGTTGCTTCTTCTTGGTCCTTTCTATCTCATCTTCACCTTCAAAGTTGCTGTGCCCAGAGTTATCCTGATTTTGACCTTCGCCATGTTCCATCTCAACAGCAGCATCAACTGCATCCTGTACGCGCTCATCAACCGTGATTTTCGCCGCGGTTACCGAGGTGTGGTAGATCGCTGCCGTCGGCTTGTTGACAGGGTTCGACATGTCGGCTGTCTGCGTCGAAACACGAATTCTGACGTGTACGTGATCAGTGGTGATCAAACCACGGATCACCTACGTACTTAACAAGACATGTTTCTTTTTGTGTTTTCTGATCTCATAATACCATAGCAACCAACTATAGAACGTAGGTTATTGTCACTGTTCAAGCATTTCCAATCCTCAGTAGACAAAGTATAGTCTAATTTACACACACTGTTTGTAGAGTGAAACGCGGTTATAGAGTACAGCTTGGCCTGAAAGGATGAAATGTTTTCTTGCATGTTTAGCTGTAAGTATTTAGAATAAAAAGTGCTTCTTGTTGTTGTTGTGTCGGTGTTTTAACATTACTGTAAAATATTGCTGATCCCTTTTAAGCTGGTGCACTTGTATAAAATATCAAATCTTCTCGGTATCCTTAGATATTTGAAGTTTGTAAATGATAACTACTATTATAAAATTTTGACATTCCAGAGACGTCTGGAGTGATTCTTTTCAGTGATGCTGGGTATTTCTATATTTCTAGTATAGTGCTCTGCAAGTTGCCGACAATCTTGAATACTACCCAACAATTGCCAGTCTAAATGAGTTCTTCGGTCACCAACACGTGCTAGCATTTTAATAATTCATTGACGAGCTTTTCCTTTCAACTTTATACGTGTGAAGTGAGTGACACAAACCAATAACCTATGACGAAAGATTCTTGGTGTTTAGATAAAAAGAATAGGAAACAATTTGTGAGTTGTCTTTGAATTCTGACGCCGAAAATGCTTGGAATGTTTCCACTAATTCTAGGTAAACTAGCAGAGAACAAACATGTTTATAAATAAAAATGTAATCGATCAAACTATGATAGGGTCTCTTAATTGGATCATGAGGGATATTTTTCGAAAACTGAATTAACAGAAGAACTCAGACTAAACAATTTGCTTTTATTTTCGGTTTTCAAGTGAACGTGTCACAGATGTGCTAGACTCAAGGCTTGCACGACTTCAATTATCTTTGATGATAGTTTTGATTTTAATGAGTGGAGTTTAAATTCCTTTACTGTTAAAACGAAATTTGGTGGTAATTTGTAAGAATTGAACAAGAAAGTATATTTTTAGATACAGTTATTGCATAAATATATCTTTCTTTGTTACACATGTGTAACATACGTACACTGCAGTGTACGTATGCTATCCTTGGGGAAACGCCAAAAATGTTTGCCTATAAGTTTACGAAATCACTCGAATTTAGATCAAACTTTGATTTCAAGCTCTCTCGGTACAGTTGCTCTACTATTTGTTATTTACACGTAACTCATACTACCGTAATCTTTAGAGATTTAAACCTAAATTTACGAGTAGCGCACCCCAGTTCTTGGTTTGAGCATTGATAACATCAATCATTTTGCGGACGATGTTCAAAGTATAGTGGTAGGGGAAATTTCATTCATCTTTCATCCATTTGAACAAAACATCGTTCTGGAAGATAGTGTCATTTATCGAGATTATCTCGTTCGAGAGTGGTTGAGGTGATTCTTCATATCTCAACTCTTTTACCATGAAATTCCTAACAGCTTGATTCCTAATTCATCTTCACTAATGTAATGTTGTAATTTGTGATTTTCAAATTAAACCTTGTCTCAAATTGCTGTACTTATTTCTGTGTCTTATGTCCATGTTAGCGTTTCTTTGTCATAGGTGTGATGACATTCATTGATATCCTTGACAAAGTTGACCAATTTATACGGTCAACTGCCAACTTAATCTCAAAGTAACAATGTGGTTAAATCCAAGATCGTATCTTTGGTTAAATCGACTGAAAGTGTCCGGACCCACATGCGTGTGATTGGACCATTCTTTTGTGTGCACGTATATTACTGGTCGAGCATGCGCGAAATGTGCCTGTACAAACGTAACATAACCATCGTACTGTTCATGACACCCTCACAAATATACACAATGTACATGTACATATACATGTACTCGGTCATTCATTGTACCCACAATGCACGAGTACTGTACATGTTTGCTTAAGAGGCTTTAATATGCAAATTGAACGCGTCTTTTAGCTTAGCTGACCAGCCTTCCATTGGTCAATTTCCCAAGCGTCAATACGTAATGAATAAACAACATGCGCAAACTACTACCTGCACAACAACGGGATCAAAATGGCTTCCAGCGTGGAATTGTTCTCTACAATCAAAATGTTTCGACGATTTTGTCGGGAGTACTATTCAAGTTACAACATACTATCAGTCTAAAGGTATGTGAGATTTTTTAGCATTTTTCAGTGAAAAGGGGTGACTTGCTATAGGTGCAATTTCTGGAATAAAGTTCCGTCAAACTGGGAGTTTAATACAGATAGGTTTTCGATTGTTCGGGCTTGCAGGCAGCATCGTCTTTTTGACCGGATGGACCGGAAATCCATGACATACCGACAGAGCATGACAGAGGGTACCCCGGCAGTTCAAATTAACAGTTAATTATTGGTTACGCACGTGTTGCTCCTACAATTAGAATGTCAAATCTAACACTAGTTCAAAGTAGTTCATCATGTTGGTAGTTGTGTCATTATGTTGGTCTCGTATAAACGTAACGTAGAGTGGAAAAATCGTTTGTGTGAAGGCCTACGTATTCAAGCTTAGGAGCCTATTTAAAATGTTCCGCGAAGGGGCCGGGGCGCAGGTTAAATATTTTTGTGCATCGTGATTGATTAGCCTGTTGCCATGCCAGGCGTTCAACAACGACATTTGGGCCTACATGTCGCTCATTTTTATTCAAAACTCGTGTAATTTTTTTTTCTGTGTAGGCCTAACATCATAATTATTATGGACATGTACTGTACAGAATATGTACTGGACATGCTGGATAACCATGGGAACCAGGCTCCAATGTCCACATCACTCAGGGCTACATGATTTCTTTTTGAAGTCTTGGAGATGAAATCAGGTCTTGAGCCCGAGGAAATATTGTTTTTAAAGTGGTCTTAAGAAACTAAAAACATATCCATATCTGCACACCACTTGACACCCTGTGCACAAACCCTCTGAAATCGGTCTGAAAATGCCGTTTTTTTAGTAAATGCTTCAACATTTACACTGCTAAAGTTGACGTTTTAGGACTTGTTATCAACTTCTGATGGCTTGTAAACTTCTGCAAGGGAAAATTAGTGATGTGCGTATGTGGAACTCTTGCCAAATTGTTATTCCAGTGTTGTTTTTTGCACATTGTGTTCATTTGTGTCAATAGCTCATTATTGTGGTAGGCTATGTGGATACTGTCTCTGCACTTTTGTGTGTCTTCTTTGATTGGAGCTAATTCAGTTTACTCTCTGGTCGAATTAGTTTTTTTCACATGCTTCATAACTTTATAAGATTGTCTCATATTTCAACTTTCCTTCAACAGACTCATGTCCTTGCGTAGCAGATTACATGTGCTTCCAACAGAGGCTGTAGTGATTGAACGGAGTGGGCGTCGACCACGGAAAGCTCTTGATCTGCGTGGACGGCACCTCAACTCATTGCCGGAAGCGCTCTTCCAGCAGACTCGACTACTCGTCAGCTTGGAAACCTTGGATTTGAGTTTCAACAACTTGAGGAATCTTCCACCATGTATCAATACGCTTACCAACCTTCAACACTTGTATGTCCACCACAACACACTTCGAAAGCTACCTGCAGAGATGGTAAACTTAAAAGGACTGCAGACCTTAGATGTTTCACACAACAGAATTGGAGCGATTCCTTCGTGCCTGTCCAGTTTAGAGAATTTACAGGTGGTTAACTTTTCTGGAAACCATGTGAAAACATTGGATGAGAAAATATTTCAGTTACCTAACTTGCAGAAATTTTCAGTCACTCGGAATCCTATCAAAAATGTACCCAGGGATGTTTACGTACACGGATTGCGGGCAATCCGTCGTCATTTCAGCATTCAGATTGAGGCATCCATTCAGTGTGATTCCAGGCAGGTCCTGGAGGAAATAACTCTCCAAGATCAAATAAGAACACATCAGTTCCGTCAAACACCGTGTTTGGATGAGTCTCCGTGCCACAGTCGAGACATTAAACACAAACCTCCCGATGAAAATGATGATGAGGTGGCCATTATAAACAGTTGTGCAACGGTCCATACGAGGCACAAGCAAGTAACGGACATTCTTCTTTTTGAGCGAAGGATTTCCACGAGTGACTATGGCTCTTGCTCCGGGTCCAATATTGAGAGTGATCGTCTCCGTAGGGATACTGACACTGACACACTGAGTTGTCATGGAGATTGTGGGAGTGACAATGAAGACATTGCCTGTGACATTAGCGTAGCTGAGGACCGATGTGAAATTTGTATGAGACCTCTGTTCGGTGACATTGACCTCAGTGACACAACTCCGTACGACTGTATTTTGCCCAACCGATCAAGACTTTTGAAAGTGTCAAACGTGACTGTGTTGATACCGCAACACAACAAGATGAACTACATGAGGAGTGAATTTACACTAGACATCCTGAAGGACCACAGGTTTTTACCAGATGAAGATCCCACAGCTGTGGTCCAAGCAAGTCCTGTGGTTCTCCTTGGGCCTCATGGAGCGGTTTTCTACGGAGACCGCCCAGCAGTTATAAGACTTCCTCTGCTGGTCAAAGTACCCTTCCCCAGTCAAGTTCACTGTCTGCGTAGCAATACGGATGACTTAGAACGACCAGTATGGGAACGCATCCCATCCAGTGACTTCCGAGTGAGAGATGGGTACATCCTTCTCAGGACCAGCCATTTCTCATTGTTCACAGCCGTCCTGACCAAAACGCCTTTTTCAGTGAATCGTATGATTAGCGCCGAAGAAGGCGGAGTGCTGGAGGTTAATGAAGTGCCTGGACTTTTTGTCCAATTTCCACGGGGATGCGTTCAGGGAGATATTAATGCCAGCATTAAGGTCATTTGTTCTGAGCTTTCAGCTGATGTCCGAACCAATCTGAACCCATCCGATGCGCTGGCTACCCCTGTAGTCATCTTGCAGCCTCACGGCTACATCTTCAACAACTTCTCTGACAACCCAGTCACAGTGCGGTTGCCTGTACCTGACTACAGCGCCATCGTCCAGAGTTTTGGATTTGAAGCGCAGTTGTCTGTATGGCAAAGCCCGACAACCGAAGACCAGCCTGTTGCCTGGGAGGTACTCAACACAAACTTCCAAATCGACAGTGATGAGAATGGAAACTACTTCATTGACATCCCTGTCGTCCACTTCTCCTGGCTCACGGCCCTGTGGGCCAGCATCAGGGGGAAGATGCAGAATGCCCGACTGGGAATGGGATTTGCCTACTCTGGCGGGGCGGTCAACATGAAATGCCAAGCCTGGATGCTGGAAAACCCTGACACGGGGAAGTTTGGTCTGGTAGTTATCTGCCATCACAGTGACAATCCAATGCAGGATGTTGGGAACTATGCCAAGAATGTTGGAGGTAGCTTGAAACCTGTCAGCATAGGTCCAGGTCAGTTTACCACAACCAAATGTGACCAAGAGCAATGTAGGACTGATTCAGTTTGAATAATTCACTATTCGAATATTCGATCTTCAATATGATCGAATATCTGAATATTCGGTTGCACCGACCGGTAGATTGTTGATGAACAAACCATACACAAAATGGGTTGCAATAGCACACACAATGGTATTGTACATTATGATCAATATAAAAGCTTCTCATATCTAGGAGTATCTCCAACCACGTTTTACCAAGATTTACGAGATGAACAAGTGTTCTTGCCCTGTGGAATATTTCTATTCCTTTTAAATTGGTTAAAGAATAAGTTACTTTTTAAATTATTGCAAGATTTCTGACACTTTTCACTTGAATCTACTTGAAACAAGCCTCCATAGTGCAATTTTTGTCATTTGAAATAAAAGAAAATTTTCCCTTTTTATGAATTTTGCCTTCAAATATTCAAATTTGAAAAACAATATTCGAATATCGATCGAATATTTGGTTATTTGGCACAGCCCTAGAACAATGATGGCTTGTCAAACCCTTCGCAAGATCAAAATCGTCAGCAAATCCATGCTAATTTATGTTACTTTTAGGAACAGTCTGACTTGTCGGAGTGATGCAATTTTATTACATAGTAGAATTAAAGAGTAGATTTTTTTCCACCCAAGTGCCTTTACTACAAAAAGGTGGCTTTATATCACATTTTTTTATTACCCCAAAAACAAGACAAGACAAAAATTTGAATGCCTTGGTTTAGAAAGTCTCCTCGCACTGTGACACACTAACCATTCAAGGTTTGTTTACCTGTAATCTCATCCTGAAGGAATTGTTACTGGCACAGGAGGACAAAGGCTCAGTTTGCAAGTCTGTTGGTTATTAAACGGATCTCTGCCCCACTTTGAAAAGTTCTTGTGGTGGCAAATACTTCTGTAAAATTTGTAACAAAATTATTTAGGTACCTGCACTAATCATTGGGACAGAAAATGTAATTGTTTGGAGTCTTTTTTAGTGGTCATTTCCTTTTATTTGTATGATACCTGTATTGGTTGGTGATTTCTAGTTGCTGCTTTTTTCTGTTGACACATTTCAAATTACGTGTTCTGATATTTTTGTGAAATTTTGTTCAGGAGGGTCGATTATTGTCAAGTTAGGTAAGTCGGACTACTTTGAGGCTGACACAGCTGCTGGGGAAGATGAGTCTTTGGAACAGGTGGAAGAGAACTACAAAGGCGGGGAGTTTGAAAAACAATTTGCTTGCAAGTTCAAAGGTCAACCGTCCAACAAGGACATCTTTGGCAAGGTCTTTGTGAGGAGACGTTGGGAGAATGGCACAGAGGAGAGATTGTTTGAATTCAACCTCATCAAGGTGAGATAAAAATCCAGAGCGCAGAGTTCACTTTTCTTCAGTGGTATATGTAAATTGATTTCATTGTATCAGAAATATGCTTACAATGTATTGTCTGAATGACACTAGTAATTAAGCATAGAAATGTTTACTACCAACTTTTTGGCCTGAACCAGTGTCGTGAAATTCTTGCATCCAAATCCCTGTCCCCGTATACGGGGGGTATGACACCAAACAGTCATTGGGGCTAGTCACGTGCAGTCCCAGTCAGCACGTATCACTGATGGTTTTGCAGTGTTAAATCTTGAGCCGTCTACAATCTATTCTTATGCACATCTGCCTGTGGGCTGAAACTGGATTGCACCATTGAGTACTGTTTTGAAATAAAAGTCTGTGCTAATTGAGACAGTAGATGTGTTGTCCTTTTTTTACCGCATTGGGGAAAATGACTTTATAAAAACATAAAATTAATAGATTTTCCGTTCATCACAGCCCGCGTGCTGATTCATATGAGGAACATGTGTTTATGTGTTGAAACGCTCGCAGAAATGTTCAACCATCGGAGAAACGGCACACTACCAACATAATTGGTGTCTTTTACTGTGTTATGTGTCATGTGGTGTCAACTTTGTTTGTACAAATTCTAGTTACATAAGATATAAAGCCTTGGCCCTGAAATGGCACACATTATGGCTAGATCCGGCTGAGTTTGTATTCACCCTAACTG